GGAAACCAATATTCATAAGATAGTCAAGCATCTTAACATTTTTTCCCCTGTTTTACCCACTCAGACTGTGCGTCAATCCCTGTATCACAGAGCCCAGTTGTTCCAAGGTTGAGCATACATCACTATTTACCTCTGTCCCATTTAGCCCATGCTAAATGTTCCCCTCTCTACTTTGTTCTTCCATTCCTCTCTTCCTTCTTGTGTATTGCCCTCCCCAACACCTGAACTATGATGTTTCTATCTCCTACCTTGTGTTCTATCATCCCCTCACCACTACTACCACCACCCTCGGCTGGTAACCAACAAAGAATTTTTTTTCCCTTTTAGTATGGGTATCTGTTCTTAAGCTTTTACAATAATGGTCTTATGTGATATGAAAGCCATTGTTTTTATTTGCAGAAAACAAACAGAAAATAGTAACAGAGTCTCAAAGGGAAACTGCTTACCACTCCCTAAATTACTTGTGGTAGGAGCACAGTGGTTCTGTAGGATAAGCACTGGACTACAAACCATAAGGTCTGTGGAACAAGCCCTCCAGCAACTCCATGGGAGAAAGATGAGGCTTTCTGCTCCCACAAAGATTTAAATGGCTGTAAACCCTATACAGACAGGGTTGCTATAAGTCAGAACTGATGCAACAGCACTTAACAACAATTCTTATGTCACTAGGCGGGCATGCCATGGTTCATGGTTCATGAGCACTTTTAAGCCTCTGCCACCAAACTCATGCCATGCTACTCAAGCCTGATCTGCGTGGCTCTTTTGCTACCACACTACCCAGGCACTACCATAGCTCCCTCGTAGGATGGGAGGAGACATGCAACCCCGCATAGGGCATACTCAGACTTCTCTTGCCCTGCACAAGCAAATGCTAAAGTGTTTTTCACTCTACTGGCAAGCCTCTTGCCCAGAGACATTTGGCTCCACCATGCTGTAAGAAGAGCCCTACACAGATTCTTGTGAGGCAACCACTGTACAGGGCATACTCAGACCTATACCCTGGAGCAGCTAGAAGAACAAAAGATACTTCTTGAAAGAAAGACCTACAGGAAAAATACAAAATAATATAGGCAGACCAACTGTTACTACAAGAACAAGCAAGTTGCTTGCCCAGGAGACATCAAGGCAAGTGGTTGGGTCCCCTCA